GTATTGCTGAAAGTCTATCTTCAAAACTGGTGTATTTTTTATCTTCATACGTCATCTGAAAGTAATAGTTATCTATTTCGTATGTTTCTTTCATTTCGTTTATTTCGTATTGTAAATCTATTTCGTTGGTTTTCCTACTTCTAAAATCCATGCGTACGAAATAGCAGACAAAAGTTAGTTCAAATATAAAAAATATTAAATAAATAAATATAAATAATAAAAAATGCGACACTGACAACACAGCATTTAAACCAAAATATGCACTTATTTTCAATCAATGACGTTTGTATTTTATGCATAAATTTCATAAAAAATATGCAACAATGCTGTAAACGATTTTTCGTATTTTCTTGCGTGACTTAGAATAAATACCTATAGTAAAAAGAGAGATTGATTAAAATAATAAAGAATAGAAGAGGCAAAATGCTGGGCCACCTTATACGACATGACGATTTTTTTAAGAGCATAATAGAAGGAAAGATAGAGGGCAAAAGAGGAAGAGGAAGACCGAGGATTAACTACATGGGACAGATAAAGGAAACACTAGGCGTCATGTCATATAGGGAGATAAAGGATATGGCCTGGAATAGAGCTGGCTGGAGGAAGATGCATGAATTAGTTGCACCGACAAGAGGAAACTCTTAAATAAAAAATAAGTAAAAAGACAAAAAAAACCAAAGATTACAGCAAAACTTTTATAATGCAGTAAAAGTAATCTTCTACTTATATTCTATGACAACTATTTATTTTTTAAATTTTAATTGGTGATATTTTGAAATATAACCTTTAACCGGGAACAAGAGAATGTGAATCATACTTTAATCATTCAGAATTTAAAAAATCTAAGAGTCCAAGCAGATTACCCCAGCCCTACTCCATTCTTCGATGGAACCAAATTCTATATCAAAAGAATTCTACATATATACTGCCATACTATAAATTTTATAGAAAATAACTTAGCCTATATATAACTGAGAAACCCAGCTTCTCTCTTGTTGGAATTATTTAATATTCAACATATAAGAAGTCGCTTATACACCGTGTGTGCCCCGACATAGAATGGACCGCCCCTTCCTTTCCCATAGGTGTCGTAAGAGGCGACTAAGGAATGGCGAGGTATGGGTAGCAGCATCCTTCTTAAAACATCTCTGAAAGCATAACTGCGGTTTCCAACCCGCCTGCCAAGCGTGACAACTACTGGCAAAACTTCCCTTATGGGAAAACCTTATGTCCAGTAGTAGACAGTTAGCAGCTGCAATAATAATAATTATTATAAAAAGTATTGAAGAATACCCTAGAAGAAGAGAAGAATATATAGAATATTCTGTTTATCTGTAAACGTTATCAAAAACCCGCACGAGGAACAAGCCACATAATCAGACAGTCTCATCACGTACTGAATAGGTCGGACAGGCATCAGGCTGACCACGTGTGCTGAATCGGTGCAAAGCGCTGCACTCGCTGATTTTTACACAAAATCTTCTTGACCGGTCTTGGAGAGTAATTTTAAACCTAATAAAAATTGTTCCCAAACTTCTTTGCACTATTGCTCCAGTAAAGTCTAGTAATCATAAATTTTACGAAAAAACTATTGTTACATTTTCCCCTAATATTAAAATAAATATATATTTATTTCAACTATACTCGAATATACTCTGTTATGTTCATAGTACTGTTTATATCTATAGATGACGGATACCACTTTCCATAAGGTGGGCCATCAGCTTATCGGCCATTCTAAATTGTATAAAAAAAACTACAGACTAAGAAAATTAATATGTATACCTACAATAATATACATAAAATATTTATATGGATGAAGTGACTAATACATTAGAACTCTCTTCCGTAAAGACTGTATAATATACTGTGACATAAAGACTAAAGACCTTAACAAAAATTCACAATTAAATATGAATAATAAGAATCTGTTCTTATAAGTTATTTTTAGACAGTCTTGTAATTTTAGATTATACTATAATCTTCTTCCTTAAGCATAATATCCACCCACACTACTTACATATGCACCCTTTACCGGAAAACCTACCTGCCATCCTATCCAATATAAAATTTGCCATCAGAAGCCAATGATATTTGACAGCCGTCAAATACTTTTACATCAAAGTTACCTTCATCAAAACTAAGCGCATAGTTCTGTATGATACAATATTTTATCGGTAATTTTTTCAACATTCTCTAAATAAAATGCAATAAATAATTGTCTTATTGCTCATGCAAGTTCTCATTTGTTTTAGGTTGCAGATTACTGTCCACAGTGTAATAAATCGAAAGCAGCATAACTTCATTAGAGGAGTCAACAGAGTATACGTGAATTGCAGAGAACTTAATTCATACTGGCTATTAGCGTATAAAGTTGGCGGCAATGGTATTAAATAAAACAAAAAGTTAGCTACAAATCTATAACAACTGTTAGTTAATTTGTAAAAATCAATTGTCAATAACAGCACAAGTTTTTTTTACTGTGGGAAGTCTTCCATGAAATTTAGCTTTTATTCAATACTAGATTTCACATACGAGTTCGTCCGCGTAATCGGGATATGTTTACTGGCCAGGGTCAAAATTAGCCTACATCCTTCTTCGTCCTATATAGCATATAACAAATTTCATAATGATTGGTTTTTTATTACTATTAAGGCGCTATAAAATAACAAACTAACTCACTTTCACATTTATAATATTAGTAAAGATAGAAATAGTATCTTCAACGTATATCCGTATATCCGGCGTAATTATGATAAAAGTATCCTCCTATGGTAATCTAGTAAACCATCTATCTATTTTCGTAGTAGTAAACATTAGTGGTGAATATAGCATTTCTGTTCGTTATTTAACGTTAATTGGCATAACTTCAAAATGTAATTGCAAACAAAATTATTTACTAAAAACTGCCTGTGACTTTTTCAATATTAATAACTACGAAATATATACCGAGTTACATGATATCTTAAATTAAAACAAAAATAAATCTTATTTGAAATATAACATGGAAATAAGAATAATTGTAATCTCATAATTATATTCCTTATATTCCGTACAACATCCATGTATGTATTGATTACCATATATATTGTATCGTATCCTACAGACAGATGGACACCAATACGGAATTAGGGATTAATCAATTTATGACGCAACCATAATTAGATATTGGAGGTTCAGTGAAACGTGAAACACGTATATCTCTATAGCTATTCACTAATTGTACAAATAATGCTTATTTAGTTATTATATAGATATAATTTTAATAAATAAAGATATAATATTTATATATTTATTTACAACTTCTATCACATTCTAATTATACTTTTTGTACAAATATAAAACCTAATTTAATCAACATAATATTATCAATAGCGTATCATTGAAATAACTATAACTCATAATATTAATAAAAACTTTCATAATAAAATTAAGTCATAAAATTATCCCTATATTTATAAAAAAAACACCATGTAAAAATGTCAGAAACAAGTTCAATTACAATTATCTAAATAAAGTAACCAAAGATTAAAAACAAACGTCAACAACTCAAATTAATGCACATTAATTATAAAATCTCTTACAATAATTTAATGTGCACCTAGTTAGGTCGAATGACATGAGCGAAGATTAACACAATCCAATGAGTGTCGCACACAGTGCACCCCCGAGACACCGGCGGGCCGGCATTAGATTAACGAGCTGAATATTCTAACTAAAATAGACATCATTTCGCCAACACACTTTACAAATGAAACTAGAGCCATACTACATTATCAAATTTATAGCTCTATAGTACTATTAATTTATGATACTACCTTTATTTTTTACAACACAGAGGGCAAACGAGCTTGCGGCTCACCTCATGGTAAGTGACTACCGTCGCCCATGATCACCCACAACATCAGCGGCATTGCAGGTGTGCTGCCGGCCTTTTAAAAAGGAATATACTCTTTTCTTGAAGGTTATGTTGTCGTATCGGTTCGGAAATACTGTTGCTGGAAGTTGATTCCAAAGAATGGTTGTGCGTGGAAGAAAGTGCCTTGAAAAACGCACGGTTTTTAATTGAGAACTACATCTATGTGGCCGGTATATTTTATGTTGATTGACCGAGATAAAAAAAAGTAATACCGTCTCCATCACAAATACTACACATACATGTATTAAATTTCACATTGATTTGATAAGCTGTTAATATGTTGAGAGATATAAATTAAACTCTTTATCGCATTTATAATATTAGTAGAGATTATATACAAAAAATTTTATATTATTCAATAATTTTTACATTATTTCATACCAGATTTTACCCACAACTTCAGTTGCGTGACCGGGATATGTTTACTTATCAGGATAAAAAGCAGCCTATATCCTTCTCATATAGTACATGTATACCAAACATAATGATTGGTTAAGCTGTTAGGTGCTACATTATGTAACAAACAAACAAACTCAGTTTCATTCTTCACATTTATAATGTTTTACCACCACGACAAATTTATATCGCTAAGTCAGTGCAAACCTGTTATTGGCTTTTTATATGGATAAGTTGTTATTGTTTTAAGCTATAAATTATAAGCTGTTGGTTTTCCAATAAATAAATAAATAAATAAGAATATTCTAGGAATAAGCCAATAAGGTCATTTTCAGTTTTTACGTTTCTTAAAAATTAAATTTATATAATTTTCATATTATGACCGTATGTATTCAACAATGTAATATATCCCTTAGTAGTAGTGTTTTCACTCAATTGTGAAGAACTTAATTCAGATTTAATTACTTTTATACAATAAGACTTACACCTCTTTAAATTTGATCTTTTAAATTACATATTGATTGTAATATATTCGTGTTGTATTTACTTCCATATTACAAAAAATTGTCGTAATTACATTCACGGTTGTATTTTTTTTCGCATTTTTAGGCGCAGTAGTAATTTTGTTATTAAAATAAATATATTTCATTTTTATGTATGATGTTACAGATATAAAAAAATAAGTACATTAAGTAATTGACCTATATACAGGGTAATGACGTGCGTGCTACGCATTTGGAGTCGTCGCTCCATCTAGTGAGGACAACTCTACATTGTAATTGTTGTTAATGAATGCAAACGGCTCAGGAACTTTTTTATGATATGGCAGTCTATTAGGGAGGCATACATTCAGCAGTAAATAGTGAATAACTGAAATGATAATTATGATTGACATAACATAAACAACAAATAGCAACATAAACATTATGTTATAACAGATATCATTCCATACTCAATCTCGTATCTAATATGTTGTCGAATCTAATCTGCATTGCTATCTGCATTGGTACTGAATACCTCGAATGCTATAATTGGATGGATAGAATTAGTAAGTAGGTAAGTTATATAGATATTATACACTCGTAGAGTATGGTAGTATGACGTCCACTAATGTAATACAGCGACGAGCTAATCTGATATCGAGTCGAGGCAGGCACGGACTCCACGCCAGTTAATTGGGTTGCGTTTAATCTCAGAACTTACAATGCAACTTTAGACTCGTTATCGCTTACTAAACTTTTCACTTTCGTCTAGTTCCTAAATTTAAAGCTACTTACACCTAATTTAATTTTAAAACAGAATAACATAATTTATAATAACAGTGTAGACACTTAATTTACGGAAACAAACAAATAAAACGATAAATATTTTTCTTTTTCAGTATTTAGCAATTTCACGGTGAGTAAATGCAATAATCTACGCCACAATAGATAATTCAATTCCAGCGTAAATACATGGCCCGTTACCAAATTTCCTTTGAGAGATGGAGCGTGCACACTGAGAGCTGCGAGCCGGCACGTCTCTGCCAACTTCGGAATTCCAATTTTGAAAAGTTTCCCAACAAGGGCCGATATTGACAGCCAGTGTCAGAGGCCCACTCAGCATTGGGTCATCCAGCCTCTTGACAGATACTTGCGACGTTTATAAAATACTGCCTTGTCGCCTTACAATAGAAGCTGACAGTGTTGCTTTAATTAAAATAGACGTGATATTCATGAACTATTTTAGGAGGATATAGTTACGAGTAAATGTTCACCAAAAGCTTGCATTTGCGTGTAAGGCGACATCTCAGGAACGAGCATTACATCAGTGAAACGTTAAGACGTGAAAGTACAATATAGTGCGGAAACGTTCTCACCCTCGATACACCCCACCGATTACAAAAATTAAATAAAATTTTTACTTATAAATAGTCGTCTTGTTATGTACATATATTGTTTAGATTGTTCCGTTTTGATATTTACATACCAAACTTTGAAAACGAGGATGAAGGATGACTGAACAAATGAGCTAATAATAAATTGAATAATTTTTATATGAAAAACACTAAACATGATCCTTTTATTTAATAATTTAATATTTTCTTTACAATTTGATTAAAATTTGATATGATTAGAATTAAAAACGTAAATACACGGTCATACATTCAAAATATTTTCAATAAGTATGTTCACATTTTCTAATCTATACAAAAGATGATTTGCTGACTATATCCAGCTGTGCGAATTTGTAGACTTGCAATGAAATAATTTTTACCAAACTTAATCTAAAAATATGAAACATAGGCATACATACTCTATATAATCCAATTCTATGCCACCATCAATATTTTAAGTTATTTCAGTTCATTTCAATACAGCATAATAAATTAGAAAGACGAACTAGAACTTTTAATAAATTAGATATCTCTATAGGTACAAAATTAAATTTCGTTTATTCGTTACACTTCGTATCTTAACAACTAATATCACTTATCCCAATAATTGTTTAGTCTAATAAATTAAATCAGTATTTATTTATCAAAGTTATTAAATTCCTATTTGTTTTTCCAGTAAAACTTCAGCTTTACCGTTAAAATGGATAAACAACTTCCGACGAAAAAATAAAGGAGGAAGCGTAGGACAAAAAAGTGTCTTGTAATGAAGAAGGAGGCTTCGTGATTGTGTGCCAAGTACGGAACAACTACGCCCGTACGGAAACACGACGTTTCGGACAACTTTTTAAATTAAACACAATCCCAAGGTAATAACATGATAGATAAATAGCTCACGCCAGTACAGCTCTTTGCCTAAGTAAAAACAGGCTATTTCTACAGATAGTATATACATTTTACACAATCATTTAGATCAAAGTAGGTCATTTAAACTAAATAACCCAAATTTAACGAACAAATAAAGTACATTTTATCAGGAAATGGAACTATTGTGTAGGTTGTTTTTAAAGATAAGTATAAATTTATTTATCTAACACTGTTCGACCTTATACTATACATTTTACTATAATATTCTTAATCCAAATATTTTATTTAATTATTGAAGTAAAACTAATCTGACATTAAATAAAAAAAAACACTGCATATATAATAAACAGACGTCTCCTCATTTAAAATTATAGAGCCAGATAAAATTATAGGTCAAAGTATTACCAAAACAATAGTTCTTAATATTTACAAATTTCTTCATAATGGCTGATAAAAATAATTTCTTAAATACATCGACCTAAGTTGGGTCTTCAATAGGTATTTTAATTATCTAGTCTAGTCTAATAGTAACGGCATACTGATAAAGCGCCCTCTGTAGATCCGTATAGCAACTTGTTAGGGGCTGATAGTAAAATCACAAAGCGCGCCATCTGGTGAAATCCCTAAATACTACAAGGATGTTTTGTGTTATCTACTGCGTGCTATGTGCTACTAAAACACATTCAACTCTCAGTTTTCAACAAGTCCTAAGATAATATTTTATTATACTTAAATGAAAAGAAGGAGCCCTGTATCCTAAGTATGTGATATATTTCATCCCATATCTTTTAGAATATTGATAAATGATAAAAAGTATTCTTATTATTTTAGAGCTTTTATCTTAAACATTTTATCTAAACCATTTATTTTTAGTTATCTATAAATACTGTTACAAAAGTATTATGGCGAGTAATTTTATTTGATCCCTTCAATCGTCCTTGACATTATTTATACAACTTCATAACAGAATTCTGTAGACAAACCACTAACCAAACCTAATTTTTGTTGTCAATAAGAGAATTACAGCAGATGTTTCATACTGATTGATTTCCAAAAGCTGGTAAATCACCCGTGAAGGCAGTAATAAAGAGCGCAATGAAGCTCGCGATTAATTAAGATAGAGGCGTCGTAAAGCCAGCAACATTTCTACTGGACACGCCTTCTACTTCGTTTGCTCAACACGTATTTTGTGTACTGTGACCATGATGTAATGGATTATCCAAAAATTTTCTTTTTTGCAGTTTATATTAAAAAACTTAGGTATAAAGGTATAGAGTACAAATTTCAATTTCTCGTGTATGTATGTGCTACCTCCTATCGGTGATTGGCGATCTTAATTCTTATACCGCTATCCTGAAAACAGATTTGGTGCTCATCTCGAAACACTGCCTCAAGATTTTTTTTAAATATAAAGTTTAGCGTCTGTCTGGCAGCAACCCTTCATCTTCACCTGTGTTATTTAACTTAGCTGTTTCCCGTGACTTTGTCTACGTGGATCAGCATATAAAATATCCCATGTGTTAAATGATGAAATAACTTACCCGATTACGGAATTTCATTCCATTTAATGATTTAGAGGTTATTTAATAACAAACGTTCAAAGATCTTTACAAAATTCACATTTATAATATTATTAAGATTGCAGAAGACTGTATTTTATATTCTGAATAAATTATGTGCCCATATCTAAATACGTCCATGCATGTAATATCGTCAACAAAATAAATGTGACCATTATTCATAATTACCCACTGTTCTTTGAGACAGTTTCCCATGGAGGATGTTTAGGGATGGACTACGAATGGCTGATATTATGATGAATACCGAGAAATTTATCAATTGACCTAATATGTCCATTTTCACACCAGCTCTCTTATAACGTAGGCAGTGAGAACAGTGTTTCAAATGCCTCTATCCTCACACTGACTTAATAAATACTAGTAATTAATGTATAACAGTTTATTTGTAATAAACTGTTATAAACAAAACTAACGAATTTTTTTAGTTACTACTTTCATGTCTATTTAAAGATGCGCATCGTGTTATTTTGAGGTATTATTTTTTATTACATATGAATTATTTATTGAAATGTTATCATACTATGATTTTCAATTGCCTCTATTTTTAGTTCAGTTACGTTAATAAAAAATGTGGCGAAATGCCAAAACAAATATACCAATTAATACTTTTAGATTTTGTTTTTATGTAGTCACTAGAATTTAAAAACTTTTCAACTTTCACGATTTAGCTAATAAACGCACGCAATGTCATACTGTCAACCATAAAATAAAATATTTATATTTTTTATTTACAAAAAAACTCCACAGTTTTCTAACAATGAAAGTTATTAAACATTATAAAAGAAAGAATTAGCTAATAATAGGTATATCTATCTTAATATAAGTGTAAAAACCCCTTGTCACAATGTTTGGCCACATTAATCTCGGAAACTGTATAACTAATTTTAATGAAATTTTGTAAAGACGTATTATTTGTTACAACTTAAAAGATAGAACAGTATCTCGATAAGAAAAAGTGAATAGTAGGTGGCGGTATGGAATAAAACAATGTTTGCCTGATTGGCTAATCTATACTAATGTTATAAAGAGGAAAGATTTGATTTTTTTTTTGTTCCTTTATAATGGATATACTCACAACTCGAACTACTTAACCGATTTTGAATATTCTTTTACATATAGAAAGCTACCCTATCAGCGGGGGGAGGCGGATTGTTAGTAATGCGGACTACTAGTGCAATTGCTAGCAATATACTCTGTCAGGTCGACCTCCACGTGGTCCCTCGAGGAACCATTGTACTAATTTCCAGGTTTCTTCATCACGACGGACCAACTGACTTGCTTTTACATTCTCGTATATCATCCCTCACTGGTGCACCGCCAGCGTATAGTGTTAGCGCGGACGGGGCTACCATTCCACTATCATCCATTAAAAAACCCTATCAGCAAGTAGCATAAATGTTATTTAAAATAAATTACACATGCCTATGATAATTACAATACAATAACCCATAGTATACAAACTTTGCCTATAAAAGGTCATTATTTAACGTGCGATGCGAAAACTATTGATTATACATAAAATAATACACCACATGTTTATAGTACTCATCATAGCCCACAAAAAGTTCGCGAAGCTCTATCTACCTATTATAATTAAATATATCTTTTATCTATATTCCCGTACAAAGCTGGAGCCAATCACCAGTATTATATTATATAAAACAATTGCATGAGATAAGAAACAGTAATAAATATAATAAAAATTACATTACATATTAATAGGCAATTAATATTATTGTTGCCTTGGATATAATCTTAATACAGCGATGCCTTCTCGTGTCAATTTAAAACTCATTACATGGAAATTAATTTCACAACATTCAATTCGTAATTATTTATATAACACTTTAAATTATTTTATTTTACATAGAAGATTATTATTAAATACATTCAAGTATAGATATTTTGCTGCCACTACATTTACGCCGTGTGACCTGGGCATAGAATGAGCCACCCCTTCCCTTCCCGTAGGTATCGTAAGAGAACCAAATGGTCGAGGGATGGGCATAATAAAAATAGATATTTTGACTCATAAAATTATTGTGGATTCTAGGTATAACTAATTATAGGTACGCATACTATTCTGGCAAATTTTTGAATTAAGTTTTTTTTACACCTACGTACAATTAATTACAGATATTAATATGTAGATTGTGAATTTGACAAAATGTCAATCATTATAAAAGAAAATACTTTAAGATTTTAACATTGTTACAAAATCAAAGGAATAACACAGTTTAGAGACATTATAAACTTCTTTTATCAAACAATTTATCATATTCAACACCCACGACCATATCGCCGGTTCAGCCAATTCCATTTTTTCTCGAATAAACCATTATATATTATTTATGTCAATAAATCACATTAATAAAACAATAACGATTAATATACCACCTGATTGATGACTGGTGTTTACTAGTTAAATACCTTTTTATACCTTATAAAACAAGTGCAATGTTATTTGAAGTAAAAATGTCTACCGAACTGTTAATGTTCAGAACGCAAACAATCGATAAATATCTGTGACTACCCTTTTAAACATAATAGCTGTGAGTATTTTTATTTCTTAAGTATTACCCACATTTTCTACTGTACTATTCATTGTCACTGCTAGGGATTTGCTCATGTAATTTTTTAATGTACCAGCAACTGTTTATTAACATACTGTAAGTCACAGTATAAATAGCAAGTAAGTAAATACAGTACAGTTATTTGTATAAATACAGTCAGTATAAATAGTATAAATGCTTTACTATTCATTGTCATTGCCAGGAATTTGCTAGTGTATTTTTATTAACGTACTGTGTATGCACTAGTGGCAAATAAGTATAATTATACAATTGTCAGTACAAAGGGCCGTTGTTGCACAAATATTTTGCACAAGCACCATTTATAAATCCCTCATTCTATATATAAATCCTTATTTTGCTTTATTGTGTCTACCTACGCATCTTAAAATCCCAACTTGCGTAACAGTAGGTATCAAAATAATGAAATTACAAGTGTCCCGCCCGAGTTTAATGCTTTCATTCCTTGAACTGTGCACAAGTTATATGGAATGGAAATATTCAAGATCTACTTACATTTCTTTATTAAAAATATGCTTGAGTATTTCATAAAATAAATATAACGTCATAAAATAGATATAAAATGCCTGAATTCAAATTTATTTTAAGTTTATCAAATTTACTGAAAACTGGTAAACAACACAATTTAGATTACAATGATATAATAAAAAATAAATAAAAATAGGATTGTAAATATCGCAAAAACACAGATACATCTATTTTATATAAATTTTAACATAAACAGTAAAGTACAAATATTTAAACCACAATACTTTGGAAAAAAAGTAATTGACATTTTTTAGGCAAAACAACGTGCCTGCCGCTTTGCTGTAGAGGCCATTGTTACATCGC